CTGTCTCTTCTCCGGCCCTGAGAATTCAAACGTTGGGCCTCATTCAGCATCATCTTCCTACATTTTTTTCTTAAATGTGTTTTTGAGAAAAGTCCTAAGAAAAGTCTACGTCAGATTCATGATGTGTTCTTAAACCACAGAATCGTTCACACTTCCGTGCTCTTGAGTGTGTTTAAATTCTGTTCTTAAGGGCAAATTCCAAATAAGAAAACATTGGTGAATGTCTGAACCTTGGTGAAAACTGCGTAAGTGGGTTTTAAGAAGAAAGTTCGGTAACACTTTCTATGAATGTCATCTGTGTAAGCATCTATAAACGCATTCATAACATGTTATGATGCATGCATAAGACATTATAAACATAGCTATAAATATTTATAAAAATGCATTATACATTATAGCCATGTTTATTATGCATTATGAATTGTTAACATAATACATTATAAGTACTGATCATAACAAATTATAAGAGCTCATAAGTCGTATTTGTCCGCTCTAAGTAAAGTGAAGCGTACTGTACTAAAGCCTCCTCCAGTGTTAAGAGTGAGGCTTCAATTTGAAGTATTTACTGAAGGATTTACTGAAACACTAAAACATTCACAGTAAAGCTCATTACAGGCTTCAAATGTCAGAGTTTAAACTAGTGCTGCCATCAGTGTTTTACCCAATGTGGGAAAGTCAATGTTCAACACCGTTAGCTTGATATTTGTCTTTACGCTTTCCAAGCTAGGACTGACTTCTTTGGTACTGACATTATAACATGTTATTAACACTATTTATAATGCATTATATGAACAATTCATAATGTATAATAAACATGGCTATAAAATGTAATTCAGTGTAATTCTTTTTTATAAATATGTATAACCATGTTTATAATGCCTTATGAATACAGTATAACATGTTATAAATGTGTTTATAGATACTTACAAAGGTGACATTCATAGAAAGTGTTACCGAAATTTCTTCGTAAGAATGATTGAGGCCCATTGTTCTTCTGATGTGTCTGCTGCCATTGGTAAAGGAAATCTCTCGACAACACGTCCCTAAAATTGGTGCAAAACCAGCTGCCGCCAGTTGCTCAAACTTTAGTAAATTGAGCAGAATTTGTAATCAGCTGCATGTATAATATCTCCACCCACTTTTTGCACGATCCTCTCACGTTACGCAAACCTCCCTGAATTGCATATGCAAGAGCAAGAGAAGCACATTGCGTTTTTCCATGCAAACGGGCCACAAACTTTGCATTTGTGTGGCAGCTTTGCATGTGGGTCATTCTCCATTTGTAGCTTGAAACCATGTCACAAAGGTTGCAGGGCTTAAAAAGATGCTTAAAATGTTAAGCACAGCTCCAAAAGTCAGTATATACATTTAAAAAGTTGACCTAAGATTAAATGATACTTTTCCCTCATGATTTCTCAGATTTTTCTTTTTTATCCTGTTTTAAAATCACTCTGCATATGTAAAACAGCCTGTCACAAAACCAATTTTCAACATTTGAGAAACCATTTTTAATATAGAACAATATTTTTAAAAGGTTAAGAATTTGTATAAAACAGATTCATGTTTGCTTTTTATATCAATAATGTCATACTACATTTAAAATAAATGTATTTAATTCAAAAAATTCATTTGTCGTAGAGATTTTGGTCACTGGTGTTATCAGGACTATTTTATTTCAGCTCTATTAAACTGCTTTTTTGGGTTAAGGCTCATCAGAAAGGAAGCATCTCAAGGCATGAGAAGGCGAGTCACACTTCTATGTGTCACCGCTCTCATGTGCTTTAATGGCTGGGTGATTAGAGTTTTGTCAAAATAATGCCAAATATTATTTTTATTACCCATTTTAAATAGTTTCACAAGGTCACCTGACCAACAATGAGCCAGTCAATTTACAAAATCCTTTAACCAGAATGTCACTGGAGTCACCATCACTGGTGTCACACCATATTCATACAACACCAGTGACTGTAAAATATATGTTTGGAATTAAGCTCTCATTTTTGCATATATGATAATAGGAGATGTTAATGGACATATTAAGAATTAGTTTGAAAGAAGTTTTTAAAAATTGACCCATGTAGGCGGGTAGAACGCATCCAGTTGCCTCCTGAAACTGCTTAGCGCTTTAAGCTCAGAGCCTCCAAGCCTAGCCTGTTTGGGAAATAAGCAAAAGAAACAATCTGTATTCAAGGATCTTCTCCAGTCTGTGAAATTAGTGCTAAAATTGTGTAGTGTGCACTTGGCTTAGCCCACTATTCAAGCTTCAGCAACAGCCATTTTAAGCCACCCAGTGTTACTTGGCCTCCTTTTTTAAGTTACAAATAAAAAGCAACATTTTTCAATATTGTTCATTATGCTGGCTCCAGTAGCCGTTCAGAGCATCATATCATTACTAACACCCTGCTGATGTTGTGCTTAATCTAATTTCACTCACCAATTGAGTCCAGCATGAGCAATAGGCCCAGATTTGAGCTGGATAAACACAATCGTCTGAAAGAGTCAGCTCCGGTGTCATCTTTTTTTAGAGCTGAGCCTAATGTAGCACTTCAAACACATGTTATGGAGCGCAGAGCACAGTTGAGGTGTTTAATCAACGCAAAGCTGTGTGCGGTTTGCAGAGAAGGCCCACAGAAGACTGTTGTTATCGGTAAATGAGTGTTATGAAGATATTCCACTGAAAGCCAGAGGGGATACACCGAGTGGGGTGCAATGATCCAGCCAGCCACCATTAGAAAACACTACAGTGAGTTTTAATGTCTTAATCATAATGTGGTTTCGTCTTTACTCTCTTAGGCCTAATTATGTCAAGTCCTCAAGCTTTACTTGCTACATTTAACCAGAACGAACACAAACACGGAGCTACTCTAAGTGGTCAGGTGTGGTCCCAATGAAACCAACGTAGACTCCCGACACAGCACACTACAGTCACGTTCTCTGTATCAGTGGTCACCAATTTATGTTTGAGGCCTGTGTAGCTGATGACATCAGTTTTTACATAGCTACTTGAGGCCATTTGACTGCCATACTGGTGCTGGATTTCCACGCTGTAAGATTGGTTGTCTATGGACGGAATATGAATGTATTCCCCAGAATATTCAGGTAGAACCAAAATGTTGTGGTTTTATTGGATGAGATAACATTAACATATGGCCTAAAATGCCTGTTTCTGGTGCATTTTCACATCTAAATATACCTTTAAAAGGGCCTTTCAGTCAACAAACCAACCAATAAATGCCGTTTCAATCTAGTACCTCTCCTAAAAATAAAAATTTTTCGAGAGCTGAAAGCTTGATAGTTTTTTCGTAGAAGTTTACCTTACATCAGGAGTCGCCATACTTAGCTAAAATAATAAGACCTTATAAGCATTAATGCTTTGACTATGGATTCCCGCATACAAAACAGGTTATCTGCAATTTAAACCTATTTAATATTTTTTTTTTCTTAATAGACATGAGACCATTTATATGGATTTATTAAGAACAGTCTGGAAAATGGGTCAAAATTTGGCTCTTTGAGTGTTTAAAACGTTATTAAATTTGTTAAAATACCTAAGAAGTATAGACACTTCCTGAAAATGAAACTAACAATGAAACAACTAGAAAAACACCTCCTGAAATGGCATCTTCGTTGAAACTATGGTTAACTAGTGACAAAACACGCAGGGATCCACTTGACCGAAATTTCCAATCATCAGATAATATGAACTACACTGAGTATCCAAGTGAATGTCATCAAACTTTAAAGAAGATTAGAAAGCAAAACAGCTTTTTATCATCAATGTTCCAAACACAATGTGCTGACAGTTGTTACCATGGAGAGTGGGTGGGCGGACCCTGCTGCAGCATGACTTTGCATTGGCTAAATGGGCTGTAGGCTGAACTTGAGTTGCGTTCCACAGACACTTGCTTTAACTATGCACAGTTTCACTATTAAAATGGTTTTGGGATCTTAGCCAGAACGCCATTCCGACTCAACTTTGTCTCCTGGAACAGGGTTTAAGTGCATTCTGGCCCATTAATTTGCTTTAAAAGTTACGAGAATAACCAGTCTAAGTCCACTCTGTTGGACAGAGTGTAGGGCTGGACTGATTAGCTTTTTACCAGTGTCAAATACGCATTGGTGTTTCTGAATTAGTACTTGAAAAGTCACAAAATCACCCTAATCATCGTACATTTTTCATTTCATAGTGAACCAGAATTTTAATTATGTTTATTACTGCAGTTCCCAATTTGTCCAGTATCTATCTAGCCATTTCACCCACCCATCCACCCATTCACCCATCCACCCATTCGCCCAGCCATCCGCCCATCCATCCGCTCATTCACCCAACTACCGATCCATCCGTCTGTCCATCCGTCCATCCATCCATCCTTCTATCCATCCTTCTATCCATCCATCCATCCATCCATCCATCCATCTATCTACTTACCCACTTAATGTGTCCAAAAGTTTGTAGACACCTGCTCATCCAACAGTTCTTCTGAAATAAAAGGCATTACAATGTAATTTTCCTTACTGTGCTGCAGAAACAGCCTCTACTCTTCTGGGAAGTCTTTACTCTAGATGTTGAAACATTACTGTGAGAATTTGACTGAATTCAGCCACAAGAGCATCATTGAGGTCAGCTACTGATGTTGGATGGTTAGTTTTGAATCACTCCAACTCATCCCAAAGGTATTGAGCTCCATCACTCCAGAGAACACAGTTCCACTGCTCCACAGCCCAAAGGCTATGGAGCTCTAGCTGATACTCAGCATTGGTCATGGTGACCTTAGGCTCATGCGGCTGCTCCAGAGTGTCCAATTCTATTGTTCAGTGCTTTTCTGTGGAGATTATACTGCGCACAATTGAACACTTGTGTCCATAATGAGGCTGAATTAGAGTGTCTCCAAACGGTGTATAGTACAGTATGGCACATATCCTGACAGTGGTTAAAAACAACTGTATATATTTGGTCTTTCATCTATCCTTGTTCAAACTGCTGTTTTGTCTCCCTGCAGCCTGTCTCCTGCCATGTCGTGGTATCTGTGTTTGTGGATAGCTGTTAGCTGCCTAGTGCTCTGCCAGGCCACTCTGTACGAGACCATCCAGCAGCACCACGTCCCCCGGCCCGGCCGAAACGCCATCCAGATCCTCGGTGAGTGGCCCCTTCAGACGTTCTATACACTCCACCCGCTGCATTTCTGCGCCGTGTCTTATTTCCTCTGCGTCTGTCTTTGTCCTGCAGTGTCTATTTTCTTTATGTCTACACTCTCTCGCTCCGCAAGCCTGCTCTATTTTCTGCTCGAGTGTCTGCCCACTGAGCAAATCAACAGCGTGGTTTGAGGTGTCTTTTAAGATCCGCTGGGTACTTTTCTCCGGTGGCGGTCCGTTACGGAGATGACAAGTGTATGGACGTTTCACTATGTTTACGTTTGCCTCAGCTTGCCTGGTCTGCTGCTATTGTTGTCAATGTTTATTATATTTATTTATTTATTTATTTTTAAAACACAGTTGTGGTGGTTCTTTAGCTCTGGGCAAGGTCGTTTTTAGATATAGTTTATCTAATAATATCTTTATAATCTTTGGCTGAGATGATGGTATAGTGATAATATGAATGTGTGGCTATTGGATTTGGGCCATTCTTTGGTCTTTTAATGCGTTTAGTCCATTGAATATGTTGAATTTACTTGATTGAAATGTGTACATTTCCACATTAATTGTGAATGTATAAAATCAACACAAACTATAAGAGGCCTCAAAAAGTATTTGGACACTTTAACCATTATATATAAACATAGACAAGTAGGGACAAGATTTAAAAGAATGTAAAAGACCAAGAAGAATGGTAAACATTTTAAAATAGTCATATATAATAACAGAGAGGAGGCATATTGACCAATGAACAATATTGATTGGTCAGCTGTGGATGATGTATGGTGCTTATTGTGGCGCTCAGCACAATAAGTCACATCTTTTCAGCTTAAATGCACTGATTAAGGTTCCATAGACAAGAATGAAGACAATCACGCTTGACAGAGTTCAAAAAAGGCGTTTTCTGAACGCTCCATATATGTTTGTGCATGCGATAGTTATGTGTGTGGAATAGAACGAATGGCTGTGAGTGGTGCATCTGTTGTGTCGTTAGCAGCTGCTTTTGTCTGTTGCCATGTTTCACTATCGCTCGTTTTCTCAGGTGACGTGTTAAGCATTGGGGAAGTGAGTTTAAGCCAACCTACCAAGTCTAGCAGAACAACCCGAGTGGGAGTGTGTGCATATGTGTGTGTTCTTGTGTGCGCGTGTGTGCGTGTGGAGACTGTGCGCTCCGGGCTAAACTCCCCCATCAGTACGCTCTGAATGCCAGCTGCTTTGATCACACAGGCTCTGGTGGAAATGACAATTATGTTTCTCGTTGGCTCTTTGTAAGCATTCGGCAATTAAGCGCAGCTCCAGTTTCAGTGTGGGGGCCAGAGGGCACGAGTCAGCGAGGTGGGTCTCTCTCTCTCCTCCGCTACACGAGTCCTGGAGCTCTAAGTGACACACAAACATTCAGAGCAGTTTATCAGCACGGAAGATAAGATCGTTATAGTCCTATTAAATGTTCATATCATCTGCACATAAAAATGTACACTTGGAAAGTGACACTTAATTATTGGAACAATACATGGAAAATATTATGGTGTTACATTTTAATAGGAAGATGAGTAGTATGTGTTATGAAATATTTTTAGTATCTAATATGCAAATAAATAAAATTAATAAAGAACATTCACAAAAGGATGTGTATATGTGTGTGTGTGTGTGTGTGTATATATATATGTATATATATATATATATATATATACACATATATACTTTTCTCCGGTTGCAGTCTGTTACTGAGATGACAAGTATACGGATGTACACACTCCTATGTTTATGTTTACCTCAGCTTGCCTGGTTGGCTGCTTATGTTGTTGATGCTTTTTTAAAACAGTTGTGGTGGTTCTTCAGCTCTGGGCAAGGTCGTTTTTAGATGTAGCTTATCTATAGCATGATAATCTTTGGCTGAGATGACGGTGGAGTGATTGTGGCTATTGGATCTGGGCCATACTTTGGTCTTTTAATGCTTTTAGTGCACTCAATTCACTGAATTTACTTGATTCAAATATGTACATTTCCACAAAAGAAAAAAAAATGAGAGAAAAAAAAACAAAAATAAATTAACTGAAAGAGGTCTCAAAAGGTATCTGGACACTTCAACCAGTTAACCACTGGTAAACTTTAAAGTTCTTTAAGTTACTCCATAAAATATTAAACAAAACAATATTTGCAATAAAACGTGTTTATATTATGATGTCTGGCAAAGAAGGAGATGCAGGAAACAGCATTTTCAGGAAAGGATGTTTTATTGAACTGGCAGTAGTGGAGCACCACCGGCCAGCACTTATCCTAACGAAACACAGGGAGACATGACACAGTGGAAGGATAAACACACACCCACACATATAGCCCACCCTCCCTGGACCGATTTAACACCCCCAGCATCCACTCAGTAACAACTATTTACAATTAAAAGTCTCTCTGCGGGAGTCCAGTGCTTTCCCAGGAGGCTCCATGCATCCACGGCCAAAGGAACCAATAGCAGAACACTATACAGCCCCCCCCATTTGAAGGTCCAGACCATCTCGTGGACCCACAAAGAGTCCGCTCAGAGTCTGAGCAGAGTTCCTGGGGCATGCGCTGCACCCACACACAGTCTCTATGCAGCAGGGATTTCAGTATATCCACCACCCCGGCAGATGAACATGCCCAGCCTACACACCTCCACATATAGCCTGCCACACCCAGCATGCTACACTAACAACTAATTGCAATAAAAAGTCTGTCTAACTGGGAGTCATGTGTCCACTCACTGTCCACTCTATTAGACACTCCTACCTTGTCAGTCCACCTTGTAGATGTAAAGTCAGAGACGATAGCTCATCTGCTGCTGCACAGTTTGTGTTGGTCATCCTCTAATCCTTCATCAGTGGTCACAGAGTGCTGTTGGTGGATATTTTTGGTTCTCAGTCCAGCAGTGACACCAAGGTGTAGTACCTGTTCTGTGAGGGTCCATGGGGGTCCTGACCACTGAAGAACAGGGTAAAAGAGGGCTAACAAAGTATGCAGAGAAACAGATGGACTACAGTCTGTAACTGTAGAACTACAAAGTGCACCTATATAGTAAGTGGAGCTGATAAAATGGACAATGAGCATAGAAACAAGGAGGTGGTCATAGTGTTATGCCTGATTGGTGTATGTATATATATATATATATATATATATATATATATATATATATATATATATGAGACAAACAAAAGGGGGGAGGGGCCTGGCTGCTACTCTGAACTCGTTAGTGCTCTGTAGGCAGAACGCTGGGTGATAAATGACAGCAAAAAAGGGGAGGATGAATTTTTAAACCTTTTCACTCGTGTGTTTTCATCAGGCCCAGCAGAGCATGGTGCCAAAGACGTATAAGCGAGAGCGCAGCCTACAGAAAGTGTCCTGTGAATTATGGATGGGGTCTGTTTAACAACAAAAAGAAATCATCGCTCTTTCCGCAGACATTAGATGCCATCACATACGAGGAAAGAAAACACTTTTCTAGAGGCTGTGAAGGAGTAAAGAGGATGGATGGAGTGTGCAGATGTTTTCTTTGTCATTAATAATATTTATACAACAGTTAGTTCGGACGGCACAGTTGAATCGGTTGAGACACGTTCTAGCCGTGTTTATGATATCAGCACACGCGGCTCGGCTATACACGGCATTAACTCTGCAGCTCAGCGTTTATAGCTTTATGTTTCAGCTTATACAAAAACAAAAAATAACTAGAATAGGAAAGTTTGTGAACAAACTTTAAGTTGACTTGACCCAGCCAGCTAACACTTCACAAAATGACTTAATAGGATTTATATAGGAATTCCAGGTAGTTGTTCTGGTGCTGCTACAAGATTACTATGGTATTCCAGCTTGTTGTTAGGGTGTTGCAGATGTCATATGTTTGCTAAAATGATGTTTTGATGACATCAAACATTATGGTATGTGTAATGACAGTTACCAGTAATGCACCTGTACAACATTTGGCAGCAAATCGCTCCTGTCGGAACAGAACCTCGTAACTCCAAAATGACAACTTTACAGGGGAAGGAAAAAACATACTTTACTTTTAATGTAAGTCAATGGAACCAGACTTTTTCCCAAGTCATTTTGTGCCATTTCTTTTGGTTCATTCATCATGAAATTTAAAGATAATGTAAAGGGCAACAGGCATTTTCAAATTATGTCAAAAACTGAAAAATGACACAAGTGGAGATATGAGGTTTTGTTCCAACAGCAGCGAAATGATACCTGCCATGACATGTTTATGGTATGATTGTTGTTATTTTAAATGTTCAAATGTTACCTTTAAAAAATATGATGTGAAACCTATCTACTTTCTTTTTTGTCCTGTTGTCCACTACAAACATTGCACTGTAAATTATATATATATAATGTTTATTATGGCTATGGATGCGCATTAGGATCTCATTTCCACAACTTAATTATCTTGTTCCCACACCTTACTAAGTCATTGCTACGCATTATTTTTATTAATACAGGATGTCACCAGTGGGGCTCTGTATGTTTGTCATTGGTTTATCAATTTGAGTTTAACCACTCAGATCACTGATGCTCGGCCAGAAATCTAACACATCTCTTCACTATGACTTTTATGGCTCATCTGTCATTTTTTATCAGCTGCAGCTTGAGCTGCAGGAACGCTATGAGAGCAATGAGAGTCTATAAAGAATCAGACATTAAATGAAAACAGGCAGATTATGCTGAGAGTACAGCACCGACGTGCTGCTAGAAGAACAGGAAATAGGCTCTACTGACGAATTCCCTCATTTCATCATAAAATGCGTTCCCACCGACAGTGAACTGAACAGGGTTCGGTTAGAAGCGGACCGGTTCAGTGGTTTTATGCCGACTGGAATACGGATGAAGAACAAGTTTGATAGGTCTGCACTGAACAAGGTAGGAGACAGCGCCTTGAGAAACCTGTCTATCTCTGGCTAACTGTCTGTACTGCGTGCCGGCGGCTGCGTTGTCTCAAACTGGTGACGTGTAATTAGTCTGAGACTGTGGTGT